AAATATCTTGACTATTTAATACTATTCTTGCACCATCAATCAAATACTTACTTCAAATCTGCTCTCCTTCACAAAACCAGCTTCAACATTTATCAAGTCTCTTAACAAAATACACCAAACACATGCTTCATCTATCCACAAATGCAAACAATGATATACTTACAAATCCACAATTACTTAACATTTCTACACTAAACAAACTAATTCTACAAGTTAGTAGTAGCAATATAGAAAGATGCTTTAACACTAATAAACTTCTAAACCAAATTACTATACACTGAATTAAGGAATGGCTTTCCAAAATATGAAAACCATTTCTAACAAAAGATATAATTTTAAAAAATTACAGAAAAACCACTAATTTTATAATAATATCCCAACTTCATCATTTATATAAAAACAATATATCTCTTAATAACCTCTATCTAACTTAACTGTCAACTTACAAACAAACTAACCAACTAAACAACATTTACAACTTTATTCTGCTTTCAAATAATTCAACAATTTTAAGTCCTAAAAATAACAAAATCATTTTTCTTAAACAACTTCTTATAACCAATAATCTAAATCTACTTTTTTGGAAAAACATATATTTAAGAACTCTCAAATCTTCATGAGGCCCTATTCCAAGCTGGTTTAAAACACTCTCAAACCAAATATTCAACTCTCCTATAACATGCATATGGTCTAACATCTAACTTCTACCAATAAATCTATTTCTAAATACACTTAATTTAATTACATTTCAATCTGATAGCATTAAAAATATATAGACAATTCACACATCACCTTCAAACTGACACATAGGCAAAATAACAAACAAATCCAACTCATTACTACTCTTTCAAAACTACCAAATTATTAATTTAACATCCAACACAATTTGCATCTCTTCTATATCAACAATAATTCAAATCAATTACAAAAATACTATTAACTTAAAATGCAAAACACAAAAAAAACAACAGTACTTTGAGCTTAACATTAACAACTAAGAAATTCAAGCACTTCAAAATATTCACTTAGAGCTCTATAAACCAGTTCTTCAATCTTTACTCTTCCTTTCAATACCTTCTTTAAAAATTCTTTTAATACAAAACACAATACCTGATTTTACCTACCAAAACCAACTCATCGATCTTCATAAAAAAATCCTATTGCTGGAACCAACCAATCTAAACTTCTATACAGATACTTCCATACTCAATTCACAAACAAATAACATCTTGACAGACATCACTTGGATTCTTGAAAAAGATATACAAATCAAATTTAATGCTTCTATAACTCATACAACAAACTCAACATGAGTTGAATTAGCAGCACTCATTTCTTTATTTCTTATCCTACCTTCTAATTATCAAATTCATATATACTTAGACAGTTTATCTACTATTCAAATACTTTCCAATACACTATCTTACTACTACAAATCATAAACTAAACAAAATAATTAGGATATTACATATATACTCAATTATTTAATAAAACTTAAAAACATTAATTACACCATATACAATTAAATCACATTCAAAAAATACTTTACACAATATAACCGATTTTCTTGCCAAACAAGATGCCAATAAGACTAAATTAAAATTTAATTTTGATCACTTTTATCTACCTACTTATTTTTTCTGAAAAGAAATTCTAATTATATACAAACTATGTAAATTCTGTAAAAATCCAATTTCAATACAAACATTTAACAAACTCCTTCAACTCAAATTACTACAAAACCTTCCAACTATAAACATTCTATTATTAACTGAAATTATTAATTTTCAAAACTCCAATCTCAAACTATATTCTATTAAAAACAAAATACTTCTCAATAATTTATCTACAATATCAAATCTTTATACCCACTATCCTTTCCTCTATTTAACTTTAAATTTCTTATATTGCAATTGATATGAAAGCAATAAACACTTATTCCAATGCTTACTTCATTCTTACAATTCACAAAACACTCTTACTAATGAAATCTCAAATGTGTTAAACTCTCTAAATATTACAGAAACCTCATCCAATACAATAATACAAATTCTTATTATACAAAACACTTTTCTCTGGGATGTGATGACCTAGTGAAGTGGATAGGTTGTCAACCCTCAAGTGGCAGGTCCAAGGTTCAATTTCTATAGATAACGAATTTTAAAAATTATACCTGTGTTACGGTAACTGTCTCTTGCTGATCAGTTGGGTTTTGGGTATCTGTAATCTTAGGTACACCAAGTCAGGTCCCACCTGACATTGGGAGCTCGGGGCATCTATGCGAAATGTAATGTTACATGGTATATGTATATAGAGGAATGTAAAACCAAAGTCATATAAGGCTTCAGGCAAACCCACGATAAGACTACTGGGCATAGAAGGCTAAGAAACTGAAGAGACAGAAACTCACTTAAAAATCCTGAGTAAAGAGGTAGCACAAACTTTCGATGATGCCATTGAACTGACGAAAACTCATAAAACACCTTCATAGGAACTGTCAAATAAACCAGATGACAAAGATGTATAAAGAAGCACATGACCAACCAGGCTGCTGGAATTGCTAAAGGAAAAGAATACATAAGTATACCATACCAGGCTATCTAGATTGGGAGTCTGGGGAGTCAGTTAGTTCCAAGTTGCGACTAGTAGAGGATGATGAAAAAAAAGTTGGAAAGATGGGTACCAGGATTTGTGTGAACTTTACAAGGGTAATAGTGGTTTAAAGGGTAACCCTGACTGCAAGTGTTGGCCCCGGTCATAGCATCAAACCAGGTTAGTGGTAAAAGGGAATACAGCTCGCTCTGATAGGTTTACCTCGAGGATAAAAATAGTCTAAAAATTATAGTCTTATGATCAAATACGAATAAATCCAGGTCTGTTATCTGGTGAAATTAATACTAAAGTTAGATTAAAGGGTTTAAATGAAACATCTAAGCAGAGGTGTTAGGTATGGCAACTAGTGGGGAACCCTCGAGCAAACTCCTTAAATAGGTAATATAGAAAAGTTACACATGTAGCCAGTTGTACACTTGTCTAATAGTTCATTATAAATACATCTATATAAAACATGTATCTGCTATAAGTATTAATAAAAAGCTTAGACCAAAGAGATCACCTTAATACTGAAAAAAAAAACATTTTTCTCAATCTAAATATATATAATATTATACTATTACTCATTTAGAATACAATAACCCTTAATCAATATAACCAACTTCAACTTACTCTAAAAAAACTAACTAATAATTTTCTTATTTCTTTATCTAACTCATTACTTACTTGATTTAACTCTATTATCTGACAAACCCGTAATACTAAACAACATGAATAAGAATTATTATGAGAAATTACATCTTCTACTAAAATATTAGATTACCTACTTCTCAATTTATAAATTCCAACAATATTACTTTTACTTTCAACACCAATATAGATCCTTTTATTTCTAAAACTCTTATTCAAAACTTCACTATACATACCTGTTTTTACTAATTAAATAATCTTAAGGATTCCTTTTACCCTTTCTGTAGTTAAGTTCATGTCAATTAACTCAACTAAAAACAGAAAACTAAAGAATAATATCACATTAAATGATGTAGCATATAACAACAATAGTGTAGTTTAGGAATAATATACATCCATATCCAATTGATATATAAATGTATTCTTATTTTTCCTACTTGATATTATACAAATAAAAAATAAAAAAATAAAAAAATAAAAATAAAAAAATAAATACTATAGATACTCAGATAATAATCCAACTACAAAAATCATATACAGAAACCAAACAATATTTGACAATCATAGAATTCAACAAGGTATTAATAATATTAGATTATATTTTCAAATACCAAATACAATGCCCATGCTAACTTTAAAACAAAAAATAATTTTGATTATTTTTTAATAGTGGAGTTTTACAATCCTAATAAAACCTTCTATATACGTACTTCTTTTTTGTTTATTCTTTGTAATTTTAATTTTTTTTAGAAGTACTTTAAACTGTATAAATAATGTAAAATGAAATTGATTTAAACAACAAATCATACGAAAGTTTTTCTATGGCTTGAAAACTTAATTTCGAACGCCGATCAAGATTACCTTTGCAAATATCAGTTTTACATTTTTTTACTCAATTAATGCGACGAATTAAAATGAAATTAGATTAATACAAATTTTTGAGGTGCATTTTTTTAGGGTTAGGATTAGTAATTAGGGATAGAATTTATAATAAACAAGTATAAGTAGATTTTATGAGGTCAAATAGAACTCCCATTTCATTTTAATCTGATTCGTCACGATCTTTTTTCCTAGCCAATCAGATCATTTTATAAATCATGCTTGAGAACAACCTAAGTGTCGCACATAGTGTTTGGAGCCGGTTTTATTTTTCTTATATTAAAACCGGTTTTAATCGGATTTAACATAAGAAAAATAAACCCGGTTCCAAACACTAGTCGCACACCATAGCAAAAATCTTTAAATTATTCCATTGATCTATTGCAATCATTACTTATTAATTTATATTAGCTCTAAAGGAGCTTATTAAGAAAAAAGTGATGTACTTGCTGCTCTTTTCTAGCCTTCAAACGTTTGTTACCAACTGCTATGTAACATAGTTGCCTGTTTGGTTATATTCATAAGTATCGTAGAGGAAAATCTTGGCTTCGTTATGATGACATCGTCAGACCGAGGAGAAAATCATATTTTGAGAGATTAATTGTATATATTTCACTATATCAATTCAAAATCCTTCACTACATCGAAACGTCATTATCTTAAGAGCTCACTCCAATACTTTGCCAGATTAATCTCAATACAAAATAATTTCAATATTTTACTTATTTATTTATTGTTTTTTTTTGTTAATTTTAATTAGACAGTATATATAAGTATATACAGGCAGGTTCTATTTTTTAAATAAAACATATAAATATTGATAGATAAAAAAATACACCGTAAGTATATTAAAGTCAACAATTTATTCACATTTAAACTCATCCAATCATACACCAAATCTCCAGCTTGTTGTCTTTTTTATACAACTTCAAAGCAGTTTCGAAATCGGCGGTGTTAACCATGGTAATATATTCACCATCGTCATCCTTATAATAAATCTTTGTTATATAATGGACATTAAAGGCATCAATAACGGCGTGTTTAATATCTTCGAATTGAGAATAAGATTTGAAACGTAGAATTCGGATATCATCAGCTATGTGACACTTAATTAAAAAATCTTCACCCTGACAATTTTTTTAAATTGATGGATTATAAATGGATCAATTATAAAATACAAATTAAAATGAATATTTATACCTGAATAAAGTGTAAGTCAGTCATATGACCCCAATTTGCAATATGGGTTTTATTACCCTTGTGTTTGGTATTCTTATTCACAAGATAGTGTATATGCAATCCAGCAATGTCTATAGCCTGTTGTGGTGTTCTTTCTTGAGCAATCATGCTAATATATGACGTTCTGTCTAAAAATTTAGCATAATTATTAATTACAAAGAAATATGAAGTATAGAATAACAGGATATTGAAGTATAAAAAACATGCAGATATATATATTTAGAAATATGTATAAAATACTAACACAAATTCTTACGTATAGGATCATCACCGATGAAACCATCCTTTGAAGCATATGAAATCTGCAATTGAAGAATATTTAACGGATATGCGCAATCATGTGTTTAACAGGTTAAATAATGGCTCACCAAATTGGAGCAGTTCTTTTTCAATGTTAACACAATGAGATTAAGTTGCACTTTAGAGATAGCTTCCAAAGCATCAATGGGAATGTAAATCTTTGCTTTATTTTCATTTAAAAAAATCGAAATCCCCCCTTCAAGATATTTGTATCGAAATTTCAACTTGTAATCATTAACCGTATCGATAGATTCCTGATATTCGTTGATGTTAATGCTTGCAAGGAAAAACTCAATATGTTGTGGCTGATAGTACTGACGTAAAGCGCTTTCCCTCTCATAATTTGGTATCCTTCTGTTACCGTTACGCGGTGTTTTTTTATTAAAAGTACCATGTTGAAATTGCTTCGAATGTCCGTCTGAATTAATATTAGAATTAACATCGGTGTTCTTGTAATCTCTTGTTTCGTTAGAATATCCATTACTAATTGGTTTCGGGTGAACCTTGATTCATTGACTTGTGAGAAATTACGTTACATATCAAAATCAACTGATAATAACAATCCTTACCCATTGAACATCATCCATTGTTTGAAAGTTTCTAAACCTTGACATTGGCAATTATTTCTTGGTTTTATCTAAAATTTGTCAAGAACTTTATTAAATAATGTTTAAAGATAGATGTTTATAAGATTAGATAATAAATTGCGATTGGTCTTTTGATCAAAAGGATGTCAAAAAAAGAAAATCCCTTCACTTTTAAACCATTTCATTAACATAAGCCACGATAGTTTTAAATAGGGTCAAGAGATACGTATATGCATAATTTCGATCAAGCAAACGACTATATAATTTTTTGGATACGGCTTGGTGTAAATCTGGTTTTACTTGTATGTACGTACGCTGAAAAAGTTTATATCATATTGATCGATATTTGTTTGTAGCCCTTTGTATACTGTTCTGGCTATGTAAATTTACAAGTTTCAAGCAAACAAACTTTTATCATTTTCAGCGAAAAACGACGCATGTTTTTTAATGAAATTACTTTGGATTGAATGTTTACAATAATATGTTCTGCTCAAAAATATAGTATACAATACTCATACAAATACAAATGTTATATTTATTTTATCATGTGACTAACAATTATTTCACAACGTTAATAAATGCTTAAATTATGACAAATATACAGTATGTATAAATAACTACGATCAATTCCTAAGCTTTGTACACTCCATCTCACAAACTTTTAATTTAAGCTTTGATTAAGCTTTAATGTAAACATGGATGTCGGATTTTTCCCTTCACGTATCTTCAATACTTCAAAATAATATATAATGCATGGATAATGCCTAGAAATAGCAATATATACGCGTGTAAATTAAAAAAAATAAGAATTGTGTTTAATTGGCTTTTTTTTTTTGTATATACATACCTGGTATGTAACCGAGCAACGTTAACAAAATATTAATTAACAAGTCTTGGTTGCAACCACGCTCAAAAAAAACTCCAAGCGGTGGCAAGAAAATTGCCGCAATAATTTTACAAATGTCAGTAACTTCCAAGGCCATTGTTTTAAACTTTGTTTTTTTAGTGTGGTGCGTGAATTTATAATTTTTTTTTTTATAATTTTATTAAATAATTTTATTAAAATTACGGTTATAAAAATAAAAGAGAAGTAGAGAAACAGTCCTTTTTATAAAATTATTGCATCCCGCAAAAAAGTATGTTAGTATATCGACGATGATATCAATATGACCTAATTGTTTTTTTACCCCATTATTTATCATCATAATATGAAACTATAAAAACCATAGTAATTTTAATTCTATTATGACATATATGGTTGGTCTAGGCGTTTACAAACAACACTTCATGTAGTACTTTTCTTTAGAAAAAATAATAATAAACTTTGCCAATTCATGTTTCAATATATTACACTTATTGAAATTGATTGCTTTTCACCTGATTTATTTTTTCGGTCTGCATATTCTATTCTTTTACTCCCTTCCGTACATTAGCCTTGAATATTTTGCTTTCACGGCCTGGCTTGCCATTTCCAAGCCCGTGAAATAGCAATTTCAAAATGTGTATTCAGCCGATGACGATCTTTACCCAGCCGTTTGCCTCTATCCTTTTAAATCTGAAAACCCACGGCTGAGCCCCCCGTATTAATAATAAGTGTGACAAAACTCTTGAAATTCAAAATCCCCAGAAATTAATGGGCACCTGATCATTTAATCGGATGATTTTTATTTAATTAATTGGCTCGTGTAATTATTTGTTTACAAAAGATTTCATAATGATTTAATCAATTATTCCATTTATGTAAAAGATTCATATTCTAAATTTAGGTTAATTTCTGTATATATTTTATCATATGCGTAAATATTAATTATAGAACACGATTTCCTAATTCGTTATATTTTCTAACAGTGTATGTCGCATACCCCATCATTTCGCTGGGGTGTCCAGTATACTATGTATGTATAATTCCTATATCAATTAGTGAATAAAATACTACGGCAGCAGTATAATTTCGATAAAACTTAAATCAGTTTATTATTTATCGGAATATTAAAAAAGCTCTATTACATTAAAATATGCTGTCCACTATGTTTTCATACGAAATTTCTAAATAGATTAATATATTGGATGTCGAGATATATGGCATTTTTATTATTTTTATCATTTTTATCAAATTTAGTACAACGATCCAACCTTCTCCTAATTCTACTTACATAGAACCAATGTCAATTATATCTATCATACTAGTAGAATCTTTTAACTTTTATCTTAATATTTATATTGTCAATCTTATGGTCATTAAAATTCTTTTAATCTTTTCCTTAATCAAATTAGTTCAACAAAATAATTAAAATATTCTAATCATAATTAACTCTTTAAAATTAACAAAAAAACATTAATTCTAATCTCATCAAAGTAAAATTTCATTCTACAAATTCATTTTATAATCAAGTTAACTTATTAGTTAAAGATGTTAATAAACCTATCTTAAAAATTCTGCTTAACTTTTTCAATTTATCTATCTATTTTTTATGAAATAATTATCTTATCCTTTTTAAAATCTGTATATTTATTAAAAATATTATAATTATCAATGAACTTACTATATGATTATTACTTAAAAAAATTTTTTTAATAATTTACTTAATATTAAATGATCTTTAATATTCAAAATATTTTGAAACATAACTTATAACAATATTTTTTTTATATTAAAATTTTAATAAATAACTTATCTATTATACAAAATCTAAATATACTATTTCTTTCTATATATTACTTTAATTTGTTATATTAATGTTCTAATTTAAAAAATATTTTATATATTTTTTTATATTTTTAAAAATAATATAAATATACAACAAGTACATGAAAGGTTAAGATAATGACAGTTAGACCCAACACACAGAGCAGATTATGGTACTTTGCACAGCTGTAAGAGTCAAGCATATGGTAATCAACCCTATAGAAGACAACTTTACAAGATCATTTCCAATATCTTTAACCTCATATGATCTTAATATATGTTATAATAAATTTCTTTCCTATTACAATATTCCTCTACTTTCTTGCAACCAAACTATTCAAACTCTTATACAATATATTGACAAGTATAACTTCAACAAAATTGTTACTAGTATAATATTCTTTATTAATAATAATTATAGTGAAACTTATATATATCTTCTTAATAACTTATTTTTACCTAACCATATTATTATTCCTTCTTATTTTCTTCCTAAGTTCTATAACCTTTCTCTTAAATCACATTCCTCTAATTCTACTTCTATCTTATCAAATATATTTATACAGAATACATATGATTTATATCTCAAAATCATTACATATAATGTTAGAGGTTTTAACACTATAACCAAAAGAGAAGCATGACAAAACTATTGTTTTTACAACAATATTGACATTATTTACATTACTGAAACCAAGATAGTTAACAACAATAATCTTCATTTTTATAACAATAATTTATTTACTTACTTTTAAGTTAATTTAAATAACTTAACTAAAGATGCTGTTATCATAATTCATAAACATTTACAAGTATTTGGTCATCTCATTAAGCATGATACACCAACTTGATACATTTGAATTAAAATATAATTACACAAAATTTTATATATTAACTTGCAATTAAATAAATATATTT